CCCCAAAACCCCAAAACCCCAAAACCCCATCAATATGAGTATAATCCAAGTTATGAAATCAAGATTATCAATAAAATTAGAAATGATGATTAATCAGGAAAATATTCTACTTGCTTGCTTATTAATTAATCTTAATAGTCTGTTCTTTATAATATACCTTGTATTTGCATATCTGAATAAAATTCCTACTAGTAATCAAAGATGGTTCAAGTTTCTTCATAGTAGTACTCAGATTAAGAATCATCTTCCTCTACTATATTTTCTAACTCTCTTGAGTCATTTAGCACGTCCTCACGGAAATGCTTTTCAAGCATCATCTCTATTTGCTTGTTTACCTTCTTAAGCGATTTCTTTCGCTTCTTTTTAGCCATCATAGCAACCTCCTCATTGATAAGTTTGTCCATCTCTTTGGTTGTCATTCTGTCTATTGCCATGTTTTTACTATACTTTTCATCCTATGTGCTATCTTGAATAGTCTATTGAAGTTTCAAACTAAAAGTGGATATCCTCTCTAAATCCTCTGATCTCCTTGGCTTTGAATCTTTTTTGCTATATTCAACAGCTGAATTATTATTCTATAATGGCTTTTACTGAAGAGGCTATCTATTTTAAGCAGTGTTTTAAGCACTCTAGTTTTATATACTTTGCTGTGACTATTTATTTTTTTCTGGAGTTTTTATTGAAGTTTGCATGTTTGCTCTGCTTTCTGATGTTCTTCTACTCTAGTCATAATTTATCTATTATTTTCTGAGTTCATCCATCTGCTACTATTGTCTTTATTATTGCTATTACTGGTACAAGTGGCGCTGCTATTCCAATAGTTCATTCTAAGTTCTCTAGCTCTTTTCCTCTTTCTAGTGATTTAGTGCCTAACTAATTTGACTTTGAATCCTTTCTTGAATTCCATGCTCTTTAACATACTCATCAACTAACTCTTGTTCATGAATGGCGTTACTGCCTCGACTTTTACTGCTATTTTATGATCTTTATGAATGATTAGAGAGACCTCTATGCTCATCTAGTTTTTTACTACTTCCTAGATAGTTAATCCCTGCAGTGTTCTTAGAATACTGATTGTAAATTGTCTGGTTTTTACTGCTGAGTGAAGGTTCAGGTTTTTGTCTATTGCTGTTCTGCTCTGATATTCCTGGATAGATTTTCTGATTATTGTCAGAGTGCAATCTCTATCTGGTAGTTTGATATTCAGGCTTATCTCGAGTAGATATCTACCCTCTGCTTGCTATCCTGTTTTCTGACAGTTTCTTAGATATTGAACCCTGGGTGGCTTCCTATCTTTTAGCATCTCTGATTGCTGAATTTTGATGGCTCAGAGTTGGCTCCACACTGATATTCTTTTTCAAAGTTATTTGGTCTCTATTTTAGGATGGCAGAGTGCTTTGCTCTTTTAAATCCTCAACTTATTTCCTTACTGATTAAGCAGAGCTGAGTTAGTTAGATATTGGCATGCTTTTTTCTTTGCTCATCTAAGCATAATTTTAAATGATTTTTTACTTAGCTTCCTCTTTTCGTGAGGTATCAATGCTATCCTCTTTGTTGAAGTTCATATTAGTGGCTCCAGTTTCCTCCCATAGATCAGGATCAGCTACCTCCTCGTACCTCTTTTGCGCCTTTATTGAACTTTATCGAGTAGGCTATCTATTTGAAGTTGGTGTTGGCTATAGATGATTCTATTACTGTGCGATCTCCTCGTTATTCTTTTCTTGGTCTGAATGCAAATTAAGAGACCGCTTCTACTGTTCAATAGACATGTTGCTATGATTCTTCCTGAGTGAGTCTAGTTGTAAGCTTTTAAACTTTTCCTTCTGCCGTGCTTCATCTTCTTATTTATTCATTATCTTGAACTTCTGCTTATACTTGTTGGTTGATTGATTCTTAACTGGCATGAGTAAATTGTCTCTCGGCTTCTTCTGAGTGCCTTGATTTGATAGATTTTCTCTTGAAGTGTTCTAGCCTCCGCTATTTAAGTTGACTCTGACTCTTCCTTTGGAGTTCCTTCGCCTTTTGCTTCTCTCACTGCCTATACGATCTGAACCCACATCATCGTCAGTTCTCAAGGCTGAGCTGTAACTGCTGACATCTCTGGATGATCTCTTATCAATGATGTTGTTTAGCTTCTAATTAAAAAGCCTCTGCATAGTTATCATCTGCTTGTTTTACTTTTTAATATGATCCGATAAACTCTCTATTTTCAAGGTTAATTTGTTGACGTAGGAATATTGACGTGTGCTATTGGGTTCTTGTATATTTCTGTAAGTTATCTGATTCCCATTATCAGCAGTTTTATTCTTGATCTTGTGAATAAGATTCTTGGATATAAATGGTGCCAGAGACAAATGAGATTTTAGATAGTTGGACCTCAGTGTCAACGATTGCTTCTTCGTCGATTTCATCTTCGGATTAAACACAGGCTTGTTTTCATTTTATCTCAGCTTGTTTAGCAAGTCCAGAAACTTGATGTGCTTCACCTTATTCCTTTAATTTAGCACTTTGATTCGTCTAACTGCATTCTTAAACTTCTAAATAGGAGTGAGGTTGTCTTTATTAGTTCTCCAAAGAGCTCTGTAAATAGTATAGTCACAAACGGGCACCCCATTATTATTGATAAATTCCTAGGCATCCCACAGAGCATAATTAAGCTCCTCAATCACATCAATTGTTTCATAAAGGTCTACTCGAGTCAAAACCAGTAGTGTAACATCATTTCTGGCTCGAGCTGAATAGGGATACTTAATCTAAGATATTAGAGAGTATGCGCCTATTGAACACCCTGTATACAGAGTATCAAGCAGTAGTTCCTCTTCTTCATCTTCCTTTTGTTAAATGATCAGGTCTATTTCACCGTCTACTATAAAGTACAGAGCTTCACACTATTCACCTTGGTTAAATATATCTGTATCTTTTTCAAAGTACTCCTAACTAAGCTTGTAATAGAGTTCTTCTTTAGTGTCATCTGAGAGTGGATTAAAGTACTCAATGCTAGAGATAAGTTTCTTTTAGAAAGTCTTCCACTTGTCATTGTACTTTTTAGTTTCTTGTTTCATCTTAAAGAAGACATCAGGGAACTACTAGCAAAGATCATAAAAGTTCTCCTCAACCAATGCAGCTAGAGTACAATAGTTTTTACTCTTTACTGAAGCTGTCCTCTTCACTTAGGCTATGAGACCAACTTCTCCAAATAATACTCCTTAGACCAAATTTCTAACAAACGTCTCTCTCTTGTATTGATCTCTCACCCAAACTTCACAAGTACCTTAAGCAAGGAAAAATAAATGATGAGCCTTGGAATCTTGCCTAATAATGATATCTTCTGGCAGGTATAGTAGTGTGATGATGTTATGAACTACAAATCTTATTAGCTCCTAATTACCCTTAAAGATTACATTCTTACTGATGGCATTAAGAAAGATATGCTAGGTTACCTAGAGTCTTAAACTAGGTGATATCATGTTAAGAAACATATCTAATTATTTCTGATAGTCCAGATTGCTCTAAGTATACATCATGAATTCCTGAACTTTTCTTTAAAGCTCTTCTGGCAGTTTCATATTTTTCATTGCGGTGTTAGCTATATCAATCTATTCTTGAAACCTACTAGCTCTTCTATTCATAGTCTAGATAATCACTGCTATAGTTCCTAATATATTAGCATTAATCATTGCAGCAGTGATATAAGCTAGTGAGAGAAAAGCGAATTAGTAATTGCCTAAAGGAGATTAATCTCCGCCATAAAGTATCAATAATGAAGTGTAAAACGATACCCAATATTGGCTTGAAACATCCTCTTGATAAAAATCTTTCTAGTCATAAATCATATAAACTGGTGGTGTCCACCTCTAATCAACTGACACAATATAAAACCATGCACAGGCTTAGCAATGCAGATACATGATTAAAAAGAACAGCATTTTGAATAGCTTCAGAGAGAGTTTAATCTCATCAGTAGCATTCATGTAAGTAATGATTTTGCTTAATCTCAAAACTCTTAAGAGTTTTAGCATAGAAAACAGCTGGAGCTTTGAAGCTACTTGCGAGTTCAGTATTCCTAAGAAAATCTAATCGAAAGGAATTGTAGCCATCATATCGATCCAAAATTTGGACTTCAAATATTCTTTAGCGATCAGCTATGATTTTGAGATTTCATCACCAGTCTATCTATTAAGAAAAGTAGTCCTGAAATTAAGAAGAATATCGATTCCAAAGCAAATGTCAATAAAGTTGTTGAGTAGAGTGAATGATAGATGCTGAAAAATATAAGGCTAAAAGGCCACATCAAAAGGTAATTAATAGCAGTTCCATATCGAGAGTATCATAACGAATAGATCCCATCTTATTCTAGTATCTCCATTTACTCTCAACAAAAATCTAAACTTTTTCAGTTAGACTGCTTTTTTATGCTCCTCACTAAAGCTATCATCCTATATTATTGGATCAGTTTTGTTATTGTCAAGTTTGAAGTATGATATTTTTTTGATATTAATATCCTCTTTTGAATTAGACTTCTTTTTGGAACTCTCAATATTTTGCTTGTCAAAGTCATGTCTGGGGGAAGTATCATCGATTTGCGTCTAAGAGCGATTGAGATAATTTTTGACTAGGTTTTTCATTTACTATTTAATATACTGTGATTTTTCACTGTTTGAGCCCAAAGTTCCTTGCTGATTAACTTTGGATTTGCGTTGCTTTATTTCCTTCTAGTCCTTTAGGACTTTCGGAGATGGTACATGTTCTTTAGGTAACTAGTCTGAATCTTTTCTAGGCTTAGTAGTATTTGTAATCGCCTTTGCCTCACTTTTCTTAACATTTGAATTCATTTAATCTAAGTTATGCCAGCTAAGCTATTATAATTCATCATCTTAATCAGATCAACTTTGTAACTTTTCGATTTCTGTAAAAGATTGAATGAATTCAAATTGTAAAGAAATTCTTACATTCAATTTAATTCTTCTCTGTCTTTTTCGGCTTCATCTTCTTCTTATATAATTCGTTTTCGTCTGCTCCATCATCCATAATATTTCTTAAATCCCCTGGTATTAACCCCTTAATATGAATTAGCATTTATAAATGAATTACAGATATATTGCTCATTTTCTTATTCTTGCCGAGTACTCTTCTCTTATTGACGGACTCCTCTTCATCTTGACTCTCTGATGAAAAGCTGTTCTTCCTATTTTAGGGTGGTAGCAAACGCTTCGCTACATTGGACATGCTTTTAGTTAGAGATTTTTTCTTCTTTTTTGGACCTTTATCTGCTTAGTCAACTTGAAGAACACTTGAGGGCCCATTAGATCCATTTATAATCATAGATGATCTGTGATTGGAAAGGGTTCCCACTGTAGCTTTGAGATATAGTTTGATTTCTATTGAAAACAGATGGCTATTATTAGAACTGATTATTTTGTGAAAGGGTATCATAGTTACTGACTAGGATGTTGGAATTCTGATGATTGATAATTGAGTTACCCCCTATGTTGGGATTTTGTGTTTGAATTGTATTCTACATATCTATTAAGTTTTGTCTAAATACATTTGATACCTAGTTCTGATTACGATTAGTGTTATTGTTATTCTAAGTAGAATTCATTTGAAGCGGGTACTGATTGACTGGCTGACTAGTATACACTGAAGAAGTATGGCCATTGCTGGTTTAGCTTCTACTTCTCTTTTTGTTATTGAAATTGTTTAATTAAACAGATTAGTACTACCTATGCATGCCATGATTGATTCCACCAGTGTTTTGATATCTGAGTTAATCTTGATTCAATTGCAGAGGTAAATTTTGAATCGTATTAGTCCTATTTAGCCTCAAGTTTTATTGCTACTGTGTGAAATTCATCTATTCTCTATACTTTTTGATGAAGTTCTCAGCACTTCTCACATAATCATCATTGCTTAGGAATGTTTTGAAGAATGATTGGTACGAGTCTAGTTGTTAATGAGTACCTCCGTGTAGTTATGTTTAATTTTTAGTGGATTACAGTTGGGTTTGATTAAGCCTTTAAAATACATTTGCTACAAGTTGCGCAGTTTATTCTGGTGATAAGTACTCTGGTTGCAGACTATTGGGATTCAATTTACCAGGAGACATTGATGATTGTAACAGTTATTCAAGATGATTGTTTTCATTTGGATTCTAGTCTAAATAGACTTCACATCTTTCATTAATAGATTATTGATCTATGTTTACTTAGTTTTCAGATAGGAACAAGTCAATAAGCTGATATAGTTTAAACTGCTGCTTGTTTATTAAGAACTAAGTGTTCTCAAGTATCTGGAGGCATTCTTTACTTTACTCTGAAAGTATGATGTCATTTTAAAAGGAGTTAAGGATCTCTTCAACCTGAAGTGCGGCATTATTGTTTTATTGCTGACTCTCAATTTTATTAACTTTATCTCTGAGTTCAGTGTTCAATAACTTGAGCTTATAGACTTCACTCTGCTTAGTTAATTGATCAATTCCTTGATTCATCTTGGCAATCAATCTGAATAGATCATTTAATAGATTTCTGTAGTTTTATAGCGTTGCCTCGTTATTTTGAATCTATTACTGCTCGTTATTTCCATTCTCTTATTATTTACTTTACTCATCAGTTGAAAGTAAGACTCTGTAAAATTTGGCTATTTTGATTGATTATTAAAGCATCTTGAGGTCTCTTACTACTTTATCAACCTCAACGACCAGCACTCCGTTTTGATTTGGAACAGGCTAAATCTTTTTAAGGATATTGTTATCTTAGATATCTTCTTAAGCATATCTCTTCACATCTGATAAATGATTGGGATTCTTAAGATCACTGAAATCGTTCCTTTTCTCCTTATTATCTAGCATTCTTGGTGTGGGCAATTATGAGTTTGGTTTAGACTCGATATAGTAGTCAGACTTAAAATCCTCATTCACTGCCAAGCTAGAGGTAGATTGTATTTCACTTATATTAGCTTGATTTTACTACGATATGATATCACTCATGTTATGAATCTTTAATCTTTCTTACAGAACCTTCTCTTTTATGAGTTGATCTTATTTTTTGTTAAGTTTGTTCTCTAGTTCCGTCTTAAATACCTTCAGTACTTCACTGACCTTTTTCTTAATATTCTCTAAGCTTGATCTCATTTACCTTTCTTTTCTGTCGTCATTTCTAGCCAAAATATCAGCAATCAGTTTGTTTATCTCGCTTCTTCTCATATCTAAATCCATCTGGGAGTTATTTGTATTGCTAGATTTAAAGTAAATTGACTGAAGAATCTTATCGAATTCTAAGGTCAAAAGCTCTTCGAAGATTCTCACACTCATTTACTGTTTGCTAATTAGTTGTACCTCAAAGATCTGCTGTTGCCTATCAAGTTCATCCTCAAAGTTTTATTTAAGTTAATCAACGTAAAGAGAGTTATTGATAAAGTTTGATTGATTTTGGTTTATGTAATTTTGACTTTACTTAGCTTAAGAGTTATAGTTATTATTAGAGTGAATACTTATATTGCTGTTCATCTTCTAATTTTCATTGTTGTAGTCTTCATATTTTGGTTGAATCTCACATTATATTTCAGCATTTCGAGAATCAACTGGTTTCTTGATAAGATCAATAGTAGATTACTGGCTTGGTAGCATGCTTGCTCTTTCTTCTCTTATTAATGCCTCATACTTAGTCTTCAGTCTATCCATTTCAGTTTGCTACTATGCTCTGTATCTATCTAATGATTCACCCCATTCTACCTCAAGCTCTTACTAAACTTCGATGCGGACATCTCCTCGGATCTACTCTTTGATTCTAAGCTCTAGCCTCTCTCTTTCTTTCTTAAGTTCAACTAAGTGGGATTCCTTAATGCCAGTTATTTCTAATTCCATTTCATCTAGTTTCTTTTAGCATTCATAATTTCTTTCATCCATTTTCTTCTTATGAAGCTTTTCGAGTTTATCTTTTTGAATCTTAAGCTCTTTCTCAGTAGCTTCCTCAAAGTCCCTTTTAAGTTGCTCGAGCTGACTTTCACAGTCGCTTATAATCTTCTTTTTCTCTCTTTCAAACTCAGCTTTTTGTTTAGCCATGTCATTCTTTACTTAATCCACCTGATTTCTCATTTCTGCTCTTACTTTATCCTGAGCTGCCTTTATGTCTTTCTTAGACTTGGCATTGATAATCTCAATCTTTTCTTTTTATTCTCTCTCCCAGCATTCCTTTTCATTCGTTTACTCTTGCTCAATCTTTTTAAGTTTTTCCTCATTAGACTTCTTAATTTTATCACTATCCTCCTTCAATTTCTTTATTTCTCTTTCTTTTTATCTCTTAAGCTCTTCTAACTTCTATTAATGTTCCTGTTTTAGAATTGATATCTACTGTTAATATTCATCTTGCTGAGTCTTTAGTCTAGATTGGTACTAGTCTTCAAGCTGCTTGCATAGATTGGTTATTTACTCTTCCTTTGTTTTCTCACATCCTGACTTAATATCAACCTCAATTAATTTAAGCTTTTGTTTAACTTCATTCTCATAGTTTTCAATTCTTTATTAGAACTATCTTTCTTACTCTTACTGTTGTTTCATTAGCTAATCTCTTTGCTTAGACTTTTAGTTTTCTAGTTCATCATACTCGAGGTCTAGTTTCTCACTCTTTGCCATTAATTCTTGCCTCATCTGATCTTTCAAAGACTCTATTTCTTTCCACATTTACTGATTTCTGTTCTTTTAGTCTGCCTCAATATCATTGAACTTGGCAGTGTAACTTTCCTCTGATTCCTTCAAAGATGACTCCTTCTTAGTTAATTCTTCTTAAGTCTACTGTAGCTATTTTTCTAGGAATTTAATTTGATTTTAGTGCTTAACTATTTAGGACTCGTATTCCTGAATTTTGAGATTCAAATCCTTGATTAAATCATCTTGCTACTTCAGAAGATCATTTTCTTAAGGACCATAGTGAGACTTGGCATTTTGTTGAGTGATTAGTTCACTTAGCATCAAGCTATTTTAATCATCGACATTAAAGAAGTTTTTGAACTGCTATTGCTGCTATTGAAGATTCTAACCACTTGACTTTAACCACTTATTAATGGATTGTGCTAATTCATCTTCATTGCTTGCACTATCAATTTCCTGCTTAAATACTTCTATAAACTTGTTATTAGAATGATCATTAGCTGTGCTATTGGGATTAAGAGAGAATTAAGACTGCTTAAGGTTGGTATGATATTAAATTTCATTTGATTAGCTAATAGTGTTGTATTTTATCTTCTCCTATTATCTAACTTTATCGATTCTTTAAGCTATCTAGAGAGCTAAGTCATTAAATGTAGGGATTTTTGAGTTACTATCTATTAATTTATCTAGAGTTTCTATGAATTCAACCTTGTAATGATCCTTAGATTCAATAGTAGCTTTGCTTGAAATTTGCTTATTCATTAGCTATCTTTATAGTCTTGAAATTTAGTCTTCATAAGTCATCATGATTCTTTCAACATCAATAGTATTAGATTTATCAGAACAGTCAATCGTTTACTTGGCACTCTGCAATTTCGACTTAGTATCTTTGTGAAGATGATCTTAAGCTCTCATCATCTTTCTAAAGTTGATGTTGACTTCATCATTGTCTGCTCTTAATTTAGCATTCTGTTCTTCAACCTCCCTCAACTGCACAGCCATTCTCTCACATGTTTTATGCAGTTCTTGTTACTCAGTTTGAATAATCTCTATTTATCTTTCTTTGTCTTTGACTAAGTCTTGTTGTCTAAAAACATCTCTCCTAAATTAGTCTACTTGCTGCTGCTTCTAGTTAACATCATTCTCAATAGATTTAAATTATTCAGTCTTGCTAGCTAAGTCCTTATTTAATTATTCAATTAGATCTATTACAAGTCGTTTCTATTCTTCCAAATGCTTAGAGGCTTACTCATATTCATCTATAAAAGACTCCTGCAGAGATAGGTTAGCTTAGGCTAGTGGATCAATTGCTAGGTCAAGTTCAAGAATCATTGTTATGAGTTCATCATATTTCTTTCTCTCAATCTCATCAAGATACTGATCTCGTTTTTACTATGGCTTTGCTATAATACTCTGCTCTTGCTATTCTCTGATCATTACTCTAAGTCTTTCCTTAAGCTCATCAACATTCTTATCAGACTTCTCCTTGCTTTCCTTGACTCTGATCAGTTCTTTATTCATTTCATCAAGCTATGACTCTAACTCCTTGTTTCCAAGAGTGATTTACTTTAGTTCTCCCTAGAGTTGCCAAAGTTCATCTTCTAATCTTTGCTTCTCATCTTTTTCCTTTTGACCTGAAAATCTCAAGGATTCAATCTCTTTATCCTTACTCAGAAGTAAATTCTTGGTGAAGTTGCTCATAGTATCGGATTATTTAGGAATAACTTGACTGTTTTTGACTTGGTTAGTCTTTTCAATCATGTTTTGCTCCCTTAATTATGCTTCTTTCAGTTAATTTTGAAGCTTTTATAGCTCTATTTCTAATAGTGATTTCATTTCAAGTTCCTAGCTTATCAATGTTAACTTATTTCGGAGATCTTCTTTTTCAGAGATGCTGAAAGTATCTTTGATATCCTACTCTAACTATTTATAGGTTTGTAGTTCTTGATTAACTTTATTAAGCTTATTAATTGTTTTCTAATTCTGTTCTAATTGCTCAGTACTCTGTGTGATTGATTGCTGATACTTCTTAGAGTTCTCCTCTTCAAGCAACTTAATTCTACTCTCAAGATCTTTATTTTATTGTCTATACTTTGCAGACTCCTCTTTAGCTTTGTTTAACTACTATATGAACATATCCTTCATTCTCTTTACTTCAAAGTCATAGTTTTTAGTAGTGTTCATTGCACTAATTGTAGTGTTAGCTTTACCAGCATACGATACTGACTAGTTACCGAAGATAGATGGAGCTTCAGTGCCTCTTAAGATGTCTAGTTCCTACTCTAACTCCTTACATCTTTCCTTGAAGCTATTCATTTCCTAGTTAATCCTTTCATTATCCCTTTCAATATCTGCCACCACTTGACCTTTCTTCTTAATAATCTAAGAATCTTCATAACTTTAGCTTTCAAACTTTTTAACGTCTTTTTATAACTACTTGATTTGAGCTAGCTGATTAGCCATTATCTTCTCTTGCTCTTACTATACTTTTTCTAACTCTTTGTTAGAATTCTTAATCCTCAACTGGTAATCTTAAGCCAAACCCTACCTCTCTTTCTCAAACTCTTAAAGCATTCTATTGATTTCATTTTGAAATTTACCGATTTCATCTTGATTACCTTTCAGCTGCCGCTTAAGTTACTCATTCATAATCTTCAAAGAGTCATTCTCTGCTATTAGTTTCTTAATCTCAAGGTTCTATACATCATATTGACACTTGTCCTCTTTTTCCTTTTGCTAGAGATAGTTTTCAAGCTAATAGATCTAGTTGTTTTTGTTTTCGATAGTCTTGAGATGATTTCTGATATCAATTTTGGCTTGCTCCAGTATCTTGCCTCTCAGTTATGGCAATTAAGAGCTGTCTCTGTATGTTTATTAAAGCAGCTAAATATGCTCTTCTTTGTCCCTATATTACTGTTCGAAATTGAATGCATGCTATCTGAGTTAGTTCTTTTCTTATTCATTTTACTCTAATTAATCAGCCAACTATAGTAAAATATTAAATGATAATGTTTTTCTTACATCCTAAATTATAGCTTCTTTCTTTTAAGCTTCTATATTAAGCTGGGTATATTCATACTTCAATTTTTTGAAATCTTCTCTGTTATGATTGCCAGATCCAGTAGGATTTGACATTTGTTTATTTTCTTTAAGCCCCTTTGAATTAGTGAGAGTTGTCTTATTCAGAGTTTGGTTCTATGAATCCTCTTCAAGTGCTCGCTCAAGTTCCTAGTCTCTTTAAATCTAATGCTTATTCCCAAAAAGCACCTAAGTTGCATTATAAGATGATCTGCCACCGAGTTCAGTCATATTAAGCGTATTGATATTTTAGTTATTATTAAGCATTTAATTGAAGTTTGTCTAAATCTTGTTGACCTTGACTTCATTTTGAGTTACTGTTCGGTTGATAGCTCTGTTAGCAACCATGCTCTTTTAGTTCCACTTTCCATCAATGCTCTGAGGAGTAAGACTTAGAGACTCTTCTCCCTCCATATTTCTAAACCTCTAGACATTAGGACTTCTAGAGACATTATCATCGAGGTCTAGACTTTCTCCCTTGATCTTTGGCAGCATTTTGGACTTGTCCATTCTAGACCATTTTGAATATTAGGTTTGAGTGAAGGAGTCAAGATTTGAAAACTCACTTGAATCTAAGTTTTGCTCATCGTCATTTGTGTGATGATGACGGGCTCTTCGTTAGTTCTTTCCTCTGTGAATGTCATTTGGTGAAACTTCATCTTCATCGTAATCATCATCACTTCTTTCTTAAATTCTCCTGTTGTTGATATCATCATTTTCAGAATCATCACTTCTCATATTATCATCAGAAGTAACGAGATGACCATCATCTTGGTTAGCTCTCCTATTCCTTCCAAACTTTCTTTGCTACTGCATAGTTCTATTGTTCTTCTGATTCATTTAATTAGTATTGCTGCTTCTGTGCGTTTCCTGATTACTAGAATAGTTATTCCTGTGAGTGTTGTTATTGGATGAAGATGTTAGTTGATTTTGGTGTATCTACACTGAATCTGCAAAAGTTCTATTCTAGACAGCCCTTCTGGAATTAGATCTATCAGCTCCTCTGTAGGTTGTGTTAGAAGCACTAATCACCGTGTTAGAGATTGTCAGGTCATCTCCATCATTGGTGTTGTTCATCTCATTTCTAGCTTGAAACCTATTGAAGTCTGGAGAGTTTCTGCCATTTTAGTGCTTTCCCCCATTGTGATCAATATCATCTTCATCATTTCTGGACTGCTTGAGTTTCCGCTTGAAATTGTCTATCCTGCTATGATCCATATCGCTCTGTGTTTGATCTTAGTCTAACTAGCTGTCATTGTAATAGGTCTAGGAATCCTCTTCTTCTTCATCATCAATGTAATTTGTCTAATTTTGGCGCCGAGTTATCTGCAAACTTTTGTCCTCTTCGTAAGTACCCTCGAGTTCACTTTTTTCCAAGACACTCTCTTAATCATTGCTGGTACTATTCTACTCGTGATTCCCGTGACTCTTGGACATATTATGTCTTTTAACATTCCAAGGTGACTAGCTCAAACTAGAAATGGTTAGGGACTCATCGGGCATGTCAATTTAGCCCATTAACTCAGATATTTCCTCTCTTTGCTGGGTGCTTGCTTTGTATAAATCATTTCTATTAGTTGCTTGTTGTCTTGAGATATATCCTCCATTATTATTTGCGAGCTAATTACCTCCGAATTTCTGATTCTATTGAGGATTTGAAGTCTGATTGAATCTCTGATTCACATACTAATTCGAATAGGGGTTTTGTTCCAGCTAATTATTGTTGTTAGCTGCTGAAGAATTGTTGTTGCTGGCGGGCAATGAATTCTATTGATTGCGGCTATTTGTTCTCTTCATTTATCAATTTAAATTTGAATTACTACGTCTTAATTTATTTCTAATTAAAATTATTGTGGAAATATCTAGCAGTTAGGGGTTTTGGGGTTTTGGGG